AGACGGGCATACGCCATACAGTGTGCTATGAGGGAAATTTTGCCCGGGCAGCGGCACTATCGCCTACTCTTATATCGAATTCCAACTGCGAAGGGATCTTTTACGTGCATTCCAATGTATACACGGGACCTCGGTTTTTCGTATCATCCGAAGGACTAGACAGCTGGCCTTGTCAGGCCCCCCGTCCTGCATCACTGACAAGGGGGAACCACGCCGGGAAATCTGGATGGACTTTCTCGGCCAATGCAGGGATCGAACACCCGACCTCCAGGCTAGCGACCAAGCGCCTTACCCACTTAGCCACGTGGTCCCCTACTCTTAAAAAAAGTAGGGGATATTGAAATGCAAATACCTATGCAGGTTGTGATATGATAGATAGTCATGGACATAGGACATGCTTTGAGCGTATGTTCACAGATGAAGAACTTATCGCCCCTACAGAACCACTGAACTGCATGTGCGCACGCAATAGCGCCATACACGTGGGAGGGGTTCATTGTCAAATTTGACACTTCAAGAAAGGGTTGCTGAAAACTGCCGCTTGCTGGTTTATCCTATCCATGTTTGCTTTCCTATCGGTTCTTGCATAAGATTTACTGTTTAGCGTATCTTTGCTTTGGTGTGTTACGTTTAATTTGATCGGGAGACGTGTTCGTCGACGTCAACGTCAACTGACAACACTGCAAGAATTGGCCGTGGCACTGCAAGAGGAGTGGGTCAGATTGCCCCAAATCGTAATTGGACGGTTGATTGGGTGCATGACACGACGAATTGCTGAATGTCCGAGGATTGGTGGAACAATTATTCAGACAAAAATCCAAAAGGTCCATTTTCACTTTTGACAGCGTATCTCTTTGCGAGTAAAATGGGGCCATCAGATAAGCCGCCCATATGAACTGTTTATGTTCATGTATAGGCGATTGGCAGTACATTTCCGGAGTTTTGTATTCTTTCTGAATATCCCCTACTCTTTTTGAAGAGCATATTAGAGAAGTGTATCCCAGACAAGTGGGAAAAAAGCTTGGAGGTTCAAGGCAAAGTTACACGCATGTGTTAAACCAAAATTGATGCGTCGAAACATTTGGTGGAATTGGGTAAACCATGTGGTCGGTGGAAGCATTGGTACTTACGTGTGTGTGTGGGCGGGTCTGAGTGGGTGGAAGCATTATTATGTCTCGCGATGTTGACCATAATAAGGCGACAACTCGACATCACAACATTTTACCTCCGACAATGCGGTATTTTCGCGCGACATCGGGTGAAAATGTTGTATTATCGGGTTAAAATGTCGTGATGTCGGGTTGACATGATACCAATCTTCGGGTATATTTATAGTCTATAGTTGTTCATCCAGTGTCCTGGCTACATGAGACATCATGACATCAGTCACCATAGCATTAATATTCTATAGTTGTACGTCCAGTGTCCCGGGATACTAATTCCGTTTTGGCATCTTCCCTTAATGATGGAATCAATCTGTTCTTATCTCCAAATCTCATATTTTTAAAACTTGGGAAATTCGCTAAGCGATATTGTGTCATATTCCTGCAGCAGTGGTTGAGGGATTATCAGCTAACTAATGCCAGGTTCTCACCGTCGTGCGATCCGTTACGATGGGGGTTGTCGGTTGCGTTCACGATCTGCTACGAGTAGATACGTTCGTACACGTTTCGATACGATCAACACGATTGCTACGACTGACTTCAATATATGATAAGACCTGATAGGATCCCCACGATTACCCCGCTATTAAAACCACGATTTCAATCATATACTAGAAACCTAGCATTACCATTGTTATATCATGCTTACCCCTGGGTCCGGTTTCTACATCGACTTAGAGGTGGGCTAAAATCGAAAATGGGCCTTTTCTAGCAACCACAATAGTTCTGCTACTGCAGCTACGGCGTAAGATATACCCAATCCACCACCACCTGCGTTCTTTAGTAGATTTAATTGATGGTTTACTGGTTTGTGCTTGTTGTCACCTTTCTTGGTTTGAAATGAGATCTGGTCATCTTATGCACAGGATCCTTCTGTGACAATTGTTGATAAATTCTCGTAGTTTGCATTCAACGTTTATCAAACACACCCATTCATCTATATGAAGGATGAACAAATATAGTCATTAAAATGTCTTAATATTTTGTTAACTGAAGCTTTGGGTTGCGTCAGAATGTACCTGGAAAGTCAACTATACATGTATATATATATAAAATTCATGTCAACTAGAATCCACACCTCCATATACACACACACACCTTTGATACTCAGCATCCTCATCCTCAGGGGGGTTGGATAGCCGAATGGTTAGCACGTGCGCGCTGTATCATCAGGCCTGTCATTGAGTCAACTGGCGTGGTTTCGAATCCCTGGTTGTACGTGACAAGGAGTAGGGTCGCCTGTCCAACCTCGTGGGTTTTCTCCGGGTCCTCCGGTTTCCTCCCACTGCTAAAGACGCCTACGCACAAGCGAATTATTGAAATAAAATTAAACCATACGTTAGTCCTGAAATGGCCTAGTTTTTGTCGAGTGGACGTTAAACCCCATTTCTTTCTCTCTCTCCTCATCCTCAGGGGCGGATTCAAAAGGGGGGGGGTGTGGGGTCCACCCCACCCCCTCTGCTCAGCTACATAATTTTTTTAAAACAACACTTTTATGAGAAAAGTGTCACGGTCGTGTATTTTATCCTTTATCATCAGGGAGCCACGGTGGCTAGGTGGTTAAGGCGCTGGCTCGCTAGCCTGGAGGTCGGGTGTTCGATCCCTGCAATGCATTGGCCGAGAAAGTTCATCCAGATTGTCCGGCGTGGTTCCCCCTTGTCAGTGGTGCAGGACGGAGGGCCTGACAAGGACAGCTGTCTAGTCCTTCGGATGATACGAAAACCCGAGGTCCCGTGTAAACATTGGAATGCACGTAAAAAATCCCTTGGCAGTTGGAATTCGATATAAGAGTAGGCGATAGTGCCGCTGCCCGGGCAAAATTTCCCTCATAGCACACTGTATGGCGTATGCCCGTCTTCATTAGCCCAGTATAGGAGCAGAACAGTAGGACGTTAAACCCCATTTCATTTCATTTCATTTCTTTATCATCAGATGGTGGGATGGGATGGGCATTCAAAGCGCGATATAATGATATAGACGTGTGATCCAATAAAATTCATTATAAAAATTGACATCAAACAGGGTGTTGGATTTCTCTCTTTAAAAAGCTCAGTGTGTACATATGTCTACTTAATTTGGAGACGATGATGGCATCATGCATTAATCAACTGTCAAATTACCTTAACAAGAACCTAGCAAACCCGCTCCTGCAAAAATTCCTGGATCCGCCCCTGAAACTGGGTGCGTTCCGTTAGAAACCGGGCAAAGTTTATACATATCCATGTAGGCCTACTCATTTGAGGTTTCTTGTCATACACATCCATCGATTTATTCACAAGTTATTTCAGTATTCATATGACAGAAAATATTAATTATGACCCTGATGAGTTTGATGGCAGATTTTTAATTATCCTGACTGAATTATTGTTTAATGGAGGTGTTTTTATTTTGTACTAGACAATGAATAATCCAGCCATCTTGATATCAGCATTAACAGAATATATAATGTCATGACATTTACGTGATGTGGTTCGCTTATTAAGTTTATATTAATTATGTAATATATACTCAAATTAATATAAGTATACTTTCAATCACTGTTTGTTATAAATATCTTTGATCTAGAAACACAAAACTTTTCACACAGTTTCTTATTGATGTATTTGATACATTAAAACAACAACAGTTTTATAAAGGGCTATATTTTAGTTAAAATAAGGCGAACAACTTTGATTGAATTCTTAACTTATGCCTGAGAATGTTTTGTGAACTGGGAGCCAGAGCTATATGGCGTTTATAAACTGAACGATATCGCTGAAATAAAGGAGATTATCTCCAGAAAACAGTTTCATTCCACCTATTGGTACGTCTTTAAACCATTCCAGCAAATGTTTATCATCGCAAAAAGAGACAGATGGGGTTTAACGTCCATACGACACAAACTAGGTCATTTAGGGACGAACATATGGTTCAATTTTATTTCAGTAATTCGCTTGCGCGTAGGGGTCTGTAGCAGTGGGAGAAAACCGGAGGACCCGGAGAAAACCCACGAGGTTGGACAGGCCACAATCCACAAAGTCATATTATTAGGCCTATAGTTATGGGGTGTGGGTAGATGTTTATACTAGTCGTACATATAAAAAAATGTTTTTATTTATTTGAATTAATTATGCTTCTATTATTATTAAACATAAATAACAGTATAATTATAGATCCTAAACCCACGAGGTTGGACAGGCGACCTTACTCCTTGTCACGTACAACTGGGGAATCGAATTAAACATAAATATCTGTATAATTATAGATAATAACAGAAATAATATCTTGTCAAGAGAAGAATGTGAAACAGGAAATGTTCATCTTTTCTGGCGGATTTCCTCATGCCCTTGATTTTACTGGCGAAAATATTTATATTATTGTCACAGAGTTAAGTTTAATTTTAAATTAGTGAAAAGTTTAGAAGATTTCCAAATATTTATAAATAATTACGTTAGACCCACGGGAAACTTTTAAATTCACCGATCCATTTAAATGTTTCGAGTGTGGGTATATCCGGTAATAAGTATTTGATTGACCATTAATAAGCAATGGAATCGCCATTATCTGTTTAAACACGTGCATCAAATAACACGCATGTTTATTTCTTCTGGCCGGAGGGGGGACACATTTTCTGTATTCTTTGAGAATCGACAACACATTTAACTAATTTTTATACACAGGCCAATAATTCCTTTCAAGCTCAGTTTTATGTATATATAGTAAGAAAAGCAACCCAATTGCCTAGAACTCTGTCCCGGCGTTACCAAAGGTATAATAATAACGCAACGTAACATAATAGGTCGCGGTTCACCACGTGACTGAAGCACGCGCGCTGCCAATTGTCTGAAAGTTCTGTAACTTGCCGAAGCGGGGTGTCTGTCAGCCGCCTGCCTTTTTACTATTGAATTAAGGAATAGCGGCGACAATTCTACAAATTATTTACATCTAAAATGGATTTAACAGTCAGTCTCAAGACCTTGTTATGTATTTTGTGCAGTTTTTCCTGCTTAGTGACAACTTTGGGTAAGTCTTGTTTTAGGCTTTTTAGAAAGAGAATTATCTCCGATACAAACGCATAGTGACAGGAGAAATAACCGTTTGAAACAAGGGTTATACTTGCAAGCATGATACACAACGAAAACATGTACACGAAAACTAACATTATATTATCAGATTTCAGACACGGCATCATAGTTGCTCAATGCAACTGTTGTTTCTGTGTAATATGTAGTACAAAATATAATCTTATTTCAATTTTTTTCTTGTGAAACTCTAGTTGTCTAGGAATGAACCGTGGCTTGTGAGATATCAAATGAACTGGAATTTCTGAAGAATTTCCATATCTCCCAAATACAATGACATTATTGTACTAAAAAATAGTTCAGAGTACAGAAAGGCCTATGTTAAATTTTTAGATACATTCCAAAATGGTGAATTTGAAGAAAAATTCCTTGGTTTGCCTAAAGTGGGATAAATATTGGGTAAGGAAGGCTCAAAATGTTTTAAAAAAGAGGAAAAAATCAGGAAGGGTAGATCCAGGTGATTCATTGGCACATGTTATAAAGTCACGATTGGTGTAACATTATGAAAGGAATCTGTAGAAGTCATGTGGAAGAAACATGTGCTTCAGGGGATATATTACAAGTTGAATTCATGACTATAGTAAATTAATCCTTTGGATCCTACCTACAATAAATCCTTATCTACAAAACATTCTTCTAAGTAATGTCCAGGATCATTTGCAAAAATATCTGGAGCAATATCACCAAACCTTCCTAACCTGTTCAGCTTACAACAACCCCCCCCCCCCCCTCCCAAAAAAAACCCCAACAAAACAAAACAAAAAAAAACTGTTGCCAAGTAATTTGGATGGGACGAAAAATTGAGGTTCATTGGTGTGCATACAAAAGAACACTTGACAGTGCTGTCCATGCAAAATTAATCTCCTCAGCATTGCAAAATTAAAGATACATCATGGTATATTAGATAAAGAGCTGGCAATTCTCACTATAATAGTTAAATCTAGATGATGTAAAGGGAATATGCCGAAAATTTCAATCAAATTGCTTCACTCTAGGTAGAGAAAACCTTATTTTAAAATTTTTGTAGCCTGATTGTCATTGTTAGCGCTATCAGGATAATTAACAGAGTCTTAATTATCTATTTTTGCGTTTAATCTTCATATAACCGCGTTGAACAGCAGCAGTTTGGATAAAGAAAGACCTGCAAATAGACAGATTTACCTCTTCCCTAAAGCATGTTTTAAAAAAAGTTCTATCTCCAAATAACAGAAGTTATTGTCTTTTTTAAATAGAAGAAGCTAACCCTAACCCTTGTTCACTGTCAAAGGGGGACTGATTTTAATTATTTAATTATCCTAATGGCAATCCCCAGGGAACAGTGGCAATAGTAGAATGGAGAGATACAACAATTCACTTAGTGTGATTGTATCATAAGGAGGAAGTTTGTTATTTAATTCCATTTCACCTTAAAGGCTGATTATTGAACTTAATGAGGTCTTCTTAAACACAGTTACCAAATAATAGGAGGCCAATTGGTAGAATAATCCTATCAGTGGCCCTGGTCCAGGAATGTTTTTACAGGGACAACAATTTCAAAAAGGGCTCTATTTTGGTACTTGGATCTGAACAAGACAAACAAACCAACGGTGAGGCTACCTCAATTAGAAGGAAACTTATTGTGTTCCAAAGTTAAGGTATTGACACAATGAAACTATACCCAAAGTTTACCAACTATCCCTTAATTAGAATCAAAGGTGTACGACTCCAAAATCTCGACCAATCAATTTGCTTATTGCTCTGCTTACCCTGAACAGAAAATGTTGATTATCAAACTTAGTCAAGGTATTGACATAATGAATCTATACTCAAGAGTTTCATCATTCTCACCCATTTAGAATCCAAGTTATTGTGTCTCAAAGCATCAACCAATCAAATTGCTTATCTCTGCTTACCCTAAGCAGAAAATGCTCATCTTCCAACTCTATCAAGGCATTCACCTAATAATCACCTTTAAGTCGAAAGTGGATTCCAAATCGTATTGGATCCACCTTTGATGATTGCAACTTTAATAATCTTTGTAAAAAAAACAAAAACCCTTTAATAACTGCTTTGACTTAAACTCACATTACATTTTCAGACGCTCCGACTCAGAATTAATTTGTCTTAAAATTTCTCATTGAGCAACACTGGCAGGAATGTATTAAAGGGACAATAACACTCTTGCTGGGTTGACAACTCCAGAAAATAAAAAATAGCCTTATTCTAAGTACTAGATGTGTTAGTGTCTTACCTGTTGTGTAAATTATCCATTAAATCCTATTTTACTTGTCCAGAGGGTTCAAAAATATTTTTAAATCCAAGCCACATTTGAAAAGCTTTACGTCAGGCTTTTCAAATCATCTAGTTGAATTTTTCCAACTTTTTAAATTAGGTGTGTTAAGATGAAATTTGTATCATCAATTAATTGGAATATTGTAAAATAGTACAATTTGTTGACCAGAATAAAGATTGGGACATATTATTCAGTTACAACAAGAGTGGTATTGAGCCTTTAAACAAAGAAATCTATTGAAATACCTAGGATTAAGAAAAGCGTATATAAAATTAGTAGGAATTGGAATCATATATACATATATAAAATGCAGATGTTTAACTGAACTTTCAACTTCCTTTTTGGTTTCAGTGAGGAAAGTTGGATGTTTATAGGAAAATATGGTTGTATTAAATAACAAATAAAAAGCCAAATGTTTATTTGTAAAACTTTTATATGATTATTTCCATATGTTACAGATGCTGATTTATATTTAGAATTTTATTTTGTTTTTATTAGCAGAAATATGTGTACATACATTACAGGGGATACTAACTTGTGTGGTTGGGTGGCCACATCATAGGGTTTGTCTGGGGTTTAGGGGGGGAGGGGGGCAACCTCCCCAACTGTGAAGTGCTAAATCATTTCATGGCTTTTTTCTTCCATTGTTATGCATTCAATTTAACAAAATCTAATGAAATGGACAGAAATTATGATTAAAATTAGGGCTCCCCCCCACCCCCACATGTTTTCTCAGGGTCCTCTGGTTTTCTCCCACTGCTGAAGACCCCTATGTGCAAGCCATTTATTGAAATAAAATTGAACCATATGTTAGTCCTGAAGTGACCTAGTTTGTGTTAGTGGAGGTTTTAGCTGTATTTACTTTACAAGTGAATGAGAAATGATTGCGTGAACTCTAAGAACAGTATACCCTGCGAGAAGCATGACACCTGGCACTAGTATAATGGACGTGATTCTATGCCCATGGTTCCTTGCCTAGCAAGGGTCAACCTGAAGAACAGACCTTTGTCTTTATTTTCTCTTCAAGTAAAATAAATTGAAATGTTTGTATTTGATCAGCTGTTTATGTTGATCAACTTGTAAAGGTAGAATAAGTTCAATAAGTACATATACTGATAGTCTTATCGCTAAACATCATAAAATAACAACTCATCTAGTAGAAACTGTGTCAGCTTATTAGTCTTACACTCTTATCTTATTATTAGAAAAAAACAAAGTTATTATCCTACACTGGGATATTGAAAACGGCTTCCTCCTTCCCAGGGGTGGGGGTGGGGGGTTGGATGGCTGAATTGTTAGCGCTTATGCATTGTATCATAAGGTCTATCATTGAGTCAAGTGGCGTGGTTTCGATTCCCCGGTTGTATATGACAAGGAGTAGGGTCATCTGTCCAACCTCGTGGGTTTCTTCCGGTTTCCTCTCACTGCTAAAGACCCCTACGTTCAAGAGAATTATTGAAATAGAATTGAACCATGTCAGTCCCAAAATGACCTAGTTTTTGTTGAGTGGACGTTAAACCCCATTTCTCTCTCTCTCTCTGTTATTAGAAAAAACAAAGTTATTATTCTACACTGGGATATTAAAATATACTTCTTCCATCCCTGTGTCATATTGGAGCATATCACATATTAAACTGTTCAAGATATCTTAATGAAACTTTGAACATTCATCAACATGATATATTAGTTGTGTTTTTTGCTGATTAGAAATTTCTCAGATTTGATCATATTTGTAGTTTTGGTATTCAAGGACTGAATCTTCTTGCTATCAATAATAGGAGTTCTCCACAAAACTACCGGTTATGTTATTATAAATTCTTGATCTTTGCTAATCATAAAATATTTATTTTCATAATCATTTCAGGGCCGGCGGAGTGGGGGGGGGGCTAGGGGGGGGGCTTTAGCCACCCCAATAATTTGGCCGCAGGTTATTGCGGCGCCTGGACCCTTGCCTATAAGGACCTAGGATGGAAGCCCCCCCAATCAAGAATTGCTTCCACCGGCCCTGTATTTGAATACTGGATTGTATTTGTGCATGGTTGTATTATATTCATTTATTAGTAGATTTTATATCTGTATCTCATAGGGCCTGGCAAGGACAGATGTCTAGTCATTCGAACGGGACAAAAAACTTAGGTCCCGTGTGTACATTGACTTGCACGTAAAATATCCATTGGTAGTTGGAATTCGATATAAGAGTAAGCCGTAGTGCCGCTGTCCAGACAAAATTTCCCTCATAGCACACTGTATGGCGTATGCCCATCTTCATTAGCCCAGTCAAAGCAGAACAGTAGGACGTGGTACCCCATTTTATTTCATTTCATTTCATTTGATAAAATTGTTTCATGACAAGGTATAGGGTTTATAACCATATGACATTTCCCCTGAGATCACCTGATTCCTCCCACTTCTAATTTAATCAAATTATCAACATAAAAAATATACCATTCGTAATTCCCGAGATGACCCTGCTAGTGTTGAGTGGATGTTAAACCCCCTTTCTCCTACTCTGTTTTATAACATGCAACAATGACAATGAGCTATTATTTATAGTTGTCTGTTCCTGTGGATCATGTGATTTACAATAATTATCAACTGCTTGGTTGGAATCGGTAACCCCATTGATTTATAGATAATTAAATAATATTTCTCTTGGATGGAATCAAGGT